TCCCCCTCCCTCGCCCCTGGGGAAGCTGGCGGCCTCCTCGTGTCGCGGGCTATTTCTGGGTGTGGAGGGGGAGGGGAAATACGGTAAGAGGGACAGGGAACTGGGGCGCTGGAGCCGGGAAGCCGGTAAGCGAGTCTTCCCTACCGCTATGTCCCCTATTAAAAAGAACCCCGCTCCTTCGTGAAACCCCTTCTCCCTTAGCATTTAAGCTACCGGGCCGCGACTGGGAACTGGCCAACTCATCTTTCGCGGGGCCCTCCGCCCTCTGGGCTCTGGGGGAAAACGGGGTCCCGAGGCGGCGTGGGTGAGGACAGTCAATGAGCGGGAAGGACCTGAAGAAGGTGACACAGGCTGCGCCCGACTGGAAAGTGGGCTGGGAGGGGGTGCGGCCCGAAGCCCAGGGGATAGCAAAGGTCCTGGGAAAAGGGAGCTCCTGGCCCGAACGCGGAGTGGGGAACGCATCCTAGCGCCGGGGATGCAGAGCTGGGGACGGGGGTGGGAGCCCCATCCTGATTTGGGTGCCCCAGGGGCGCTCACTCAGCGTAGCCCGTGCTCCAGGGCAGGCGGTGGCCCGTGTCCGGGGGGCTTTGCACAGCCCGGCCCGCGTGGTCGTCGGCGCGTCTCAGCCCCCCGGGGCTCAGCTGCAGAAAGGTCGGTCTGGAGAAGCTCGCTCGAGCCTCAACAGCCTTCGCGGACGCCGCGCTCCCGCTCCCAGCCTTCCCGGGAGGGCTCCTGGGCGCTTCTGGAGCGGCAGCGGGCGGCGCCGAGGCGGTGTTGGGCAGGTCCGGGGATTTGGGGCGCGGAGGCGGAGCGCCCCCGGAGCTCACCAGGTGCGCCACGGCCGAGCGCACCCGGTTTAGCATGCTGCCTCCCTGCCCCGCCCTCGGCCGCGGCCCCGCCCCCTCCCAGGCCCCGCCCCCAGGGCTCGGAGTGGGCGGTGCTCGCGCCAGATGGCTCTTCCTGGCTATTGGCTCCTGGCCAGCGGGGCGGGTCCCAGGCGAAACTTGCCCTTCCTTGGGGCCACCGCAGGAACCGGCCCCCGGACCCCCGGCCTCTGCCCCGCCCCATTCCGGCTTGGCCCCGCCTCCGTTTCTTAGGGGCAGGGTCTGTTGTTGTGGCAAGGGGGCGGAGAGAAAGAAACCTTATTCCGCTCGTGCGCTGGATTAGACTTCAGCTAGAACGTCTCCATTGTGACGGGGGCTGGGGACAGGGAGGTGCGGTCTCTGCTCTCGGTTCGGTGTGACCAGCCTGCCCAGAGCGCCATCGAGCTGATGACCTCGGAGGAAAACAGGTGCTTCAGCCGCTGGGGGTGAAGAGCCAGGTGTTCACCACCTCTGGCTGGGGCTGCTGGAGCTGGAGCGAGAGCTAGAGCGGGCAAACTGGTACCGGGTGGGGGTCTGGGGGTAACGACGCAGGCTGCAGCCGACCACCCGGAATCAGGAACCGGGGTAGATCCCTGGGCTCCTGGTGCGCCGTTGCCCGTGAAGACGACCTCTAGATCTGGGAAAGCGGTTGCCAATCCCACCCTCCTTTCTCTCTCAGAACCCAGGTCTTTCCCATAATGTAGATCTTCCCTGACCACAGCAGGACTAGTTATTAATACTTGAGATAATAACAACATAATAAATACTATGTTTGAAGACTTACTGCATACTGGGCCCTTTACAAAGCACGTTCCACACACCATTAGGTTACTTATACTGCACACCAACCTTCATAGAATAGAGGTGGGTTTTATTCTATCAGTGTCACGGATGAGGCAGGACTGGACATTTCTTGTCATTTTACTGTGACTTGCCCCAAGAGGTCACATAGCCAGTGAGAGATTCACACCTATGTCGTCAAACCTGCTCTTTCTTATTTCTCCGGATCAGGAAGAAGGGCTAGAAAGGAGGAGAGAGAGGAGTGGGGGTTCCTCCCCTCCCATCCTCTTAGAACCAGGGCTGACAGCAGTTCGAGAATACCGAGCAAGTTCTATGTCTACCGCCAGGGGGAGACAGAGGCCAGGCTAAGCCCTTGCTTAGGACGACTAAAAGCCCACTCCCTGGAACACCAGGACCGAGCCCAGCCCCTGGTTGGCTGCCTGTTCTTTCTAACTTCTCCCCTCTGAGGGAGGGTAGTACTGACCTGACGACACAAGAGCTCTGTCTCTAAACCTCCTATCGGAGAGTTGATCACTAGGAATCCACAGGCACCACCCACTCACCCACACATCTCAAATGGGGACAAGGCTGTTGTGGCCCTTATGCAAGTTGGAGGTAGCCAGCAGGGACTACAGCACCCAGCTCACGGCTGGAACTTTTCTGGGCTCTGTGGGCCAGGTGCTTCCTGGCCACATCCCACTCTGTTCCCCAGGCTAAATTGTGTGTGGCCAGAAGGGATGACTTTCTTGGCAGCTTCAAATAAACATCCCACAATGGTCATTCAGATTGGTAGACTTACTATGCCTGCTATGTTATGTCCAAGCTTTGGGCAGAGAAAGCCAGAAAAAATTCTCCTGCCTCAGCTTCCCGAGTAGCTGGGATTACAGGCACATGCCACCATACCCGGCTATGGGGTCTGTTTTTTCGAACCCAGGAAGTAGAGGTTGCAGTGAGCTGAGATTGCACCACCACACTCCAGCCTGGCAGCAGAGCAAGGATCCGTCAAAAACAAACAAACAAAAAACACCAGACCGCAAGGCAAAAAGAACAGCAAAGGCAGACCAGGACAAAGAACAGGCTGCTTCTATAGGTTTTCCCCTGCTATTTGAGAAAAAGTAGAGCCAACTCTTAGATAAATAACAGCAGCAGCAAGCCAGCAACTGAAGAAACAAATATAACTCCTGGTTGTTGTTATTATTCAGTGTTTCTGGGACAGTTGACTTACCATTTCTTGGTGTCCCCCAGCTCCCTGTTCCCTGCCCTTTCTAGCACCCACAATGGTGTGGCTGCAAGCAGGCCGCAAAGCCAAGCTCAGACACCCCTCCCAGCCCAAGCACCAGATGAACGGCAGGGAGGTTAACAGCTCCCTGGGGCCCCAGAACAGCCCCCAGCCATAACCTAATCATAAGGCTCTCCTTTCCCTGAACTTCTCACCTCCTATTCCTGGCACCATAATGCCTCCTCCATCCTCAGACTGTCCCAGAACCTGGTGAGAAGGTCATCACCTCTACTCATCCCTGAGGCAGCGGAAAGTGAGAGGGAAAAGTGGGTGGGGTAGGAAGAAGCAGACTTGTGGTGTCTTTTTCTCTGTGATTAGCAAGACTCTGCTCAGTGGCTGGCCCTGCCAGGGGAGCATAAAGCTTCAGTCAAGGAGGGGGACTGAACAGCCTCAAGACAAGCCCTTTATCTCAGGCCACAGTGATGGCTCAGGGCCCAGAGCTGGTCACCTTCTGCCTTGTCTCTCCCCTCCACAGGACCCCAAACCCAAAGGCCTCCTAAACGAGGAAAGTCCCTTCTGTTAAGAGTCAAATTCACAGAACATCACTCCCTCCCATTTGTCTAATACTTTCACATCCAAAATAGAACCCTGTAAAGAATTATTCAGTTGCAATTAATAATATGACAATTTTTCTGATAAAGAAACTGGGTCTCAGATCAGGAGTGGTGGCTCACCCCTGTAATCCCAGCACTTTGGGAGACCAAGGTCCATAGATCAGTTAAGTCTAGGAGTTCCAGCCAGCCCGGGCAACAGGGCAAAACCCTGTCTCTACAAAAAATACAAAAAATCAGCCCCAGCTTGGTGGTGCACTACAGACTATACCCACATTCCCAGCTACCAGGAGGCTGTTGTGGGAGGATCACTTGAGCCCAGGAGGAGGAGGTTACAGTAAGCCAAGATCTGGGTGACAAAGTGAGACCTTGTGGGAAGGAAGGAAAGAAGGAAGGGAGGGAGGGAAGGAGGGAGGGAGGGAAGAGGGGCCAGGCATGGTGGCTCATGCCTGTAATCCCAGCACTTTGGGAGGCCAAGGCAGGCAGATCACCTGAGGTCAGGAGTTCGTGACCAGCTGACCAACATGGAGAAACCCCTTCTCTACTAAAAATACAAAATTAGTTGAGTGTCGTGGGGCATGCCTGTAATCCCAGCTACTCGGGAGACTGAGGCAGAAGAATTTCTTGAACCCAGGAGGCAGAGTTACGGTGAGCCGAGTTCACGCCATTGCACCCAGCCTGGGCAACGAGAGCAAAACTTCATCTCAAAAAAAGAAAGAAAGAAAAAGAAAGGAAGGAAGGAAAGAAGAGAGGGATGGAGGGAGGGAGGAAGGAAGAAGAAAAAGAAGGAAAGAAGAGAAAAGAAAAAAATAAACTGGATTTCAGAGTTTGGTTCCCATGTTGATATTCACACTTATCCACAGGGACCATCCACAGCCTACTACTGTCCTCCTGCCATTGCCCACACCCTCACACTTCCCTCCGTCCTCCCAGCCCCACGAGAGCACAGCTCCCGGGAGAGGAAGAGATACTTACTATTCCCTCCTAAGTAACAGTCTAGAATAGTGCTGCTGAACAGAACTTTGTGCACTCATGGGAATGTGCAACATCTGCCTGTCCAATACAGCAGTCCCTATCTTCGTGTGCATACTAATGAGGAAGTGAATTTTAAATTTTATTTAATTAATTCAGATTTAAATTTAAACATGACACTAGTGGCTACCCCATTGGACAATGCAGTTCTGCAATCTTCAAAGCTCAAAAACCCTGAGGGCCTGGTCAATCACTCCTCATTTCCAGCTCCTTTTCCCCCAGACCTCCACCTCCCCTGAGCCAGGGCACTGGGGGCCACGAGATCTTGAGGGTTTTGAGGGATCTCCTCTGAGTTGCCGGGCCTGCACCAGGGAGGTGTCCATCCGCACGGAGCCTGCGGAGGCCGGAGGTCCTCTCTCCCTTCCTCTTGCCCTCGGCCGCCAGGGGCCGCTGCGTCCCGTCTGTGCCCACCGGCTCTGCGAGCGCACGGCGCTGTCCCGAAGGAGGCGGCGGCGCCCACGCGGGGCTGGAGGAGCGGGGGTAGCCCGGGGCGAGGCGGCGGCTGCGGCGGCGGCTGCGCGCTCCCCGGCCTGTCGGCAGGAGCCCTGGAGAAAACCGGCTGAGTTCTGCAGAGCTGGCAGGGGCGGGCCTGGAGCTCCCCGGTGCCCACAGCCGGGCCCGCCCTGCGGATGATGCCAACCTAATCAGAGCCCTGCCGTCCCGGGGGCGCAGCAACTTGGTGAGGGGGACGGGGCTCCGGACTAGACAGCACCCAAGCTGGCCGCTCCCTCCCAGAGTCTTGTCTTTCCGGTGTTGGTCCCAGGCTCCGTAGCGAGGAGGACTTCAACCAGTGGGCACCACCGTCGACCAGGTAGGTCCCAGGTGTGGGGGCTCAGAACGTGGAGGAATGGGCAGGCGTTAGTGGGGTTTGTGGGGAGAGAGGGTGAAGAAAGGTTCAAGGTTCTTATGGTTCAGGTCCTCAAACCCTTGTAATGCAGGCTGTTAACTCAGCCTCACTAAACCCCTGGATTGGGGTTTAGGAAAAATAGGCTGGGAAACTGAGGCAGGAGCATGAAAGTTGAAAAACAAATCCCAGACGCTTCTTTGTCCAGCTCTCTCTGGGGGAATATACCAGGGATGAGAGCCCAAATGAATGTCCCCACCCCTCTGCCCTACACCCCTCGAAGGTCTTTTGGGCCTTGGGGTTCCTGGGAGACAGGGATGAGTTGGACAGGAGGATGCTGCAGCTCAGAGGGAAACAGGATCACCTGAGAGAAGACAAAGCTGCATTTGTCGTGGTCAAAAGGAGGGTTCCTGGAGGGCAGAGAGAAGAGATGACTACTCAGATAAGAGGCACATCTAGCAGGGTGGGAAGCTCAGCCCACAGAGCACACCCATCCCCTGGGAACTGGCACCTCTTCCTCTGTCTTCCTCCAGATCCCCCTCTATGCTCTCCGGGAGGGAGGACTCAGGGTCCTCTGTCCTTCCCGGGCCCCACCATCCTATGCGTTTCAGGTCTGCCTCCCTTTAGAGAGGAAGGGAAGAGAGATTCCTAGGGAGAAATGGAAAGCTGTTGGGGTCTGTGGCCATCAAGGCTCAGGGACCTGGAGTATCCCCATTCTAACCCTCTGGAGTGGGAATAGGGATGAGGGTGGCTGGGGCGAGGGTGGCTAAGCTTCACGTGAGTCCAGGAAGCAGGTGCCATGGCGGGTAGGAGGTGGGAGTAAAGAGGAGCAGGGCCTCAGGATTCTTTCCCAGGTGTCTCTTCCAGCAGGAATCTGTCAGGCTCTGCTCCTTTCTTGACCCTCAGCTGCTTCCCAAGGCCAGAGAGATGACAGCAGTGATTCTCAGACCCCTCCCTACCATTAACGGCTTCACTCTTGGGACACAGAAACTCCCTCAGGCCACCCTTCTCAGGCTCACCACCCTGTGTGATCCCAGAGTCTGCAAGAGCACCTCCAGATTCCCAGGGGAGAAGAGACTGTCCCTGTCCTGGCACCTGAGAACAGCTTCAGAATTGGGCTTCAGTGCCCAGCCCACCCCCTTGCCCTCTCCCAGGTTCTCCTTCACCCCCTGCAGAGCCATGGGCTCCCTCTATCCCTGGCAACCCCCCCAAGAATCTTTCCTATTTGTCCAGGTGGAGTGAGTCTGAGGCCAGTAGATGAACAGACAGAAACTGAAAGATCCCCAAAAAGTTAAGTGAGGGGACACTGAAGATGGAGAGTTGGGGGGTGGACAGACATCAAGCACCCTATCTGAAGAGCAACTGGGTCCTGGCAGTTGGTTCAGCCTCTGGTGTTCCCAGAGCCACAGTGGCACTTGTGAGAGCCCAGCAGTGGTCCAGGCCCATCCCTGAGCTTGTGGCTTTGCTGCCTCCTGGGACTGCTCCCGCCCCCTTCTGTGGCTGGGCAGCTCCTAGCTACTCTGTGCCTCTTGCTTCCCTAGGGTTCCCTCCATTTCCAGCTTACCCTTTGGGGTAGCTTTGGGAGGCCCAAACCACCAAGAATGAAAGAGGAAGTGAAAGTGGAAGAGAGCAGAGGCAAGGTGGGCTGTGGGCAGAGGGCAGGCTTCTAGACTCTGGACTTCTCCACCAGCATGCTGCCTGGCCTTGGGCAAGTCATTTGACTTCTGTTAGCCTCGGTTTCATCTCTTCCTTTTTAAACTTAAATTTTGTTTAAACTGAAGTACTGCATTCCCGTGGTTGGAAGCTCAAAAAGCAAGAAATAAATCGGGAGAAAAATGTCTCTTTTCTACGTCCATCTCCCAGCCACCCAGTTTCCCTTTTTGATGGCAAACAATATCACTCGTTTTAAAATACATTTTCCACCTAGCACAGTGGCTCACACCTACAATCCCAACACTTTGGGAGGCTGAGGCAGGTGGATCACCAGATCAGGAGTTCAAGACCAGCCTGGACAACATGGTGAATATGAAACCCTGTCGCTACTAAAGATACAAAAAATTAGCTGGGCATGGTGGCACATGCCTGTAATCCCAGATACTTAGGAGGCTGAGGCAGGAGAATCGCTTGAACCCAGGGGGCGGAGATTGCAGTGAGCTGAGATCACGCCATTGCACTCCAGCCTGAGCGACAGGGCGAGACTCTGTCTCAAAAATAAAATAAAATAAAATAAAATAAGATAAGATAGGATAAAATATATTTTCCAAAGCTAGTTTATTCATATCTGAGCAACAAAGATAATCCTTCCTTTATACACATTTTATTTTATTTATTTTTGCGCTGGGGACTCACTCTGCTGCCCAGGCTGGAGTGCAGTAGCACAGTCAGATCACTGTAGCCTCAAACTCCTGGGCTCAAGCCATCCTCTCACCTCAGCCCCTGGAGTAGCTGAACTATAGGTGTACACCACCACGCCTGACTAATTCTTTAATTTTTTGTACCTGGGGACAAGGTGTGCCTCCTCCCCATGTTTGTGCCTCCCAGAATGTGTGGCACAGAGAAGGTGCCCAAGCTGGGCATAGGGGAAACTCCTGCTTGGAGCTGAGCAGAATATATGCTTCTGTGCGGGTGTGGTGTCTCCTGCCTGTAATCCTAGCACTTTGGGATGCCAAGGTGAGCAGATCACGAGGTCAGGAGTTCAAGACCAGCCTGACCAATACGGTGAAAACTGTCTCTACTGAAAATACAAAAAAATTAGCCAGGCATGGTGATACGTGCCTGTAATCCCAGCTACTTGGGAGGCTGAGGCAGGAGAATCGCTTGAACCTGGGAGGCGGCGGTTGCAGTGAGCCGAGATCATGCCACTGCACTCCCACCTGGGTGACAGAGCAAGACTCTGTCTCAAAAAAAAAAAAAAAAAAAAAAAAAAAAAAAAAAAAAAAAAAAAAAAAAAAAAAAAAGAATGTGCTTCTCCCCGCAGGATGAGTGAGAGGGCTGCGAGGAACTGGAGCACGCGCGGCTGGCTGCTGGCTATGTGCCTGGTCTGGCTGTTGACCCGCCTGGCCTTGGCTGCCTTGCAGCCTCCAACTGCCACAGGTTTGAAGGAGGTGGCAGGGCCTGGGGAGGGAGTTTCCCAGGACACCTGGGGAGCTGGACACCACTCCACCATGTTCCAGAGCAGGCAGATCTCCAAGGCAGAGTAACATCCAGAGATTCTAGGGGTTCCAGCTCCTCCTCTGCTCTTTACCCAGGAAACTCTGCCCACCCTGCTGTCCTGCCCCAGAGAAGGTCTGGGCAGACCCCTTGCTCACCTCTCCTTCCAGGCTGGAAGGTGTCCTGTGGGGAGAGAAGCCCTCGGGTGGGGGCTTAACTCTAGCCTCCTGGCCTAATTCTGTGGTTTTCCTTCGGGGATGGCTAAAGCCTGTGTAAGCGGATGATCCTCCTCACGCATTGTAAGCCCTGGGGCCCTGGCCCTCACCCTGAGGAAGCTGGCAAGGCGGGGCTGGTGCGGGACTCTCTTTCTTCTGCCCAGAGCCGTGCTCTGTCAAAGGGTGAAGAGCTCGGCCTCTCAGGGGTGGGAGGAAGAACGGGAGCTCTGTGAAGCAGCAGGAAGATTTCATCCACTTCCCCCTCCCCTGCCACTGGCACGTTCTTCCATAGATCCCCCCATCAAGCAGGGAGGAGGGGCTGGAGGCCAGCCCGGGTGGGCGGGAGGAAGCAGGTGGGGCGGCTGGGGGTCTGACCTGCGGCGGCTCCCTCAGTGCTTGTGCAGCGGGGCACCTGCGAGGTGATCGCGGCTCACCGCTGCTGCAACCGGAACCGCATCGAGGAGCGCTCCCAGACGGTCAAATGCTCCTGCTTTTCTGGCCAGGTGGCCGGCACCACGCGGGCAAAGCCCTCCTGTGTGGACGGTGAGTGAGAGGCCAGGACCCGGGCGGGCCCTGTGCAGAGCCTTAAAGAGGCCTGTTGAGGCCTTGCCATCTGCTGGGGATACAATTTCACACCCTCCTCAGGGCTTTCTTGATCAGAGTCTCAAATGGTGGGGCCCGCTCTGGGAGGAGAGGGCAGACGCGTACACCCCCCCCCCCCCCCCCCCCCCCCCCCGTCACACCCAGGTGCGTTCTCTCGTACAGCCCCTCCTCTCCGCACACACTTCTCCAGCTCCTTCCCCTGCTGCTCCTTCCCCTCCTCTCATTCTTAGTCCTCCTCTCACACTTACCTATGTGGACACACGTGATCGTTCACACCCACGCTCATTCGGCACCCCATACACTTGCCCACTGTGTCACGTGCATGCCAGCTATGCTCTCCTAGTCTGTAGACCCCTCCAGACGCCTCACACCCTTGTTTGCACATGACAGAGGGAGTATACTGGTTGTGCATCTATGCTCGTGACATGGTTCCCTTAGAGGCATTTTTGCCTGCCTTCACCCCTCACTGTCTTTGGGAAGATGCAGGGGTCGGTGGGATTAAAGTCGAGAGGGTTACATTCCCAGGCCTCAGCCTGGAGTAGGGGAAAGACAAGGGACATGCATGGCTCAAGGCCAGGGGTGTGTGGAAACGTGCACCTCATTCGCAGACCTGCTCTTGACTGCCCACTGTGCTCTAGAGAGCTTAGAGCCAGGCTCCTGCCTCCTGCTCCCACAGCCTCCATCGTCCTGCAGAGGTGGTGGTGTCAGATGGAGCCCTGCCTGCCGGGGGAGGAGTGTAAGGTGCTCCCGGACCTGTCGGGATGGAGCTGCAGCAGTGGACACAAAGTCAAAACCACCAAGGTACCCGGGGTGGGCACCTCATCCCACCCTCCCCTTCCCCCTCCACCAGGGGCAGAAAAGGGGGCACAGGAGCCTTGGAGGTCTAGGATGTCAGTGTCCTGAGGTGACATCGTGAACCATGAAATGTAGCGCAGACAGTCCTCCCAGGTCTGTCCTCACTGGCGACTGGAGTTAGCAGGGTCAGGACTTGAAATCCAATGTGCCCTGGGAAGATTCTTGATGTCCATATACCCTGATTTCCTCCTCCTTGCCTGGAGTTAGTTTGCCTCCAGAAAACGTCAGGTCTGTAAAAACATAGCAGAGAATTGGAGAAATTATCTAGATAATTGAGGAAGGAATTGCTACTTCTACCTGAACTCCAGGTACAGCAGCCCCTCTGCCACTCACCTCTGCCACAACCGTCCCCACCCCCCCCCACTCCCGCTGTTATTGACTCCCTACAGTTCATACCTCCCCTCCTCTAGTCAGATTTCTGTCTATTGTCACAGCACCCAAGAGGATGATTATTTTCATGGTTTGCTGCCTGCCCCACAGAACAAGGGATAATTAAAATTGTATCAAACTTGTTAGCAGTTCCATGTACGTCATGGTTAATCAGCTGCATTGCTCTGTCATCGCCACTGCTACAGAACAGTGACGCTGTGGGGTGAGCCTGGGCTCTGCCTTTGGCTTTCCCTCCCTGCCACCACACACAGCAAACAAGCAAACACATAAGAAAATAGAGAAGGAGGGCCAGGCACAATGGCTCACTCCTGCAATCCCAGCACTTTGGGAGGTCAAGAAAGGTGGATCACAAGGTCAGTTCAAGACCAGCCTGGCCAAGCGGTGAAACACTGTCTCTACTAAAAATAGAAAAATCACCCGGGCGTGGTGGTGGGCGCCTGTAATCCCAGCTACTCGGGAGGCTGAGGCATGAGAATCGCTTGAACCTGTGGGGTGGAGGTTGCTGTGAGCCTAGATCATGCCACTGCACTCCAGCCTGGGTGACAGAGTGAGACTCTGTCTCAAAAAAAAAAAAAGAAAAGAAAACAGAGAAGGAAAGGCAGCCTTCGGCTTCTGAAGAGAGCAACCATTTTCACAGAGCACAGAACAGAAGGAGCTACAGCAAGAAAAAGTTTGTCTCTGAAATAGAGCATCCTCTGTGTCTGTAGGCAGGGGTAAGGGACAGCCATTCTGAGTATATTTCAGATCAGAAGAGAGTGAGACCCCCTACAGAGCTTGTGACATTTGTCACCGTGTTATAGGTTTGGGTTTGGAAGGTAGTGCTTGCAATTTGGGTAACTGCTCCGAGGCAAAAGGTGGAGGCTTGTCTGACGTGCGTTTGCATGGGTCGCCAGATCATGCTTTCCCAGTCTGGCCTGCTTTAGGGTGAGAGGATAGGCAGCAATGGCCTCTAAGTGACCTGCATATTCTGGGTAGTCTCTGGCATGCTGGAAGGGAATAGGCATTCCCTTCTCTGACCTTTCCCTATCGCTTCTTCACCAGGTCACACGATAGCTCTGGGAGGTCATGGCCTGTGCAGGAAAGGCTTGATTGAGCCATGGACTGAAGAATGGTATCCGGTCATCAGCCAGGGAAGATGAGGATTTGCTTACATGCCTCATGCCAAATGCAGCATCAGTCTTTCCGGGGCATTTCAGTTAAGCTGATCAACAGATATGGATGGATCTGCAACCACATACCTAGCGTGGAGCTCGGTTTTTCTGGAGATGCAAAGGTCAACACACAATTCCTGCCCTTAAGGAATGTCCAGTTCAATTGGAGAGTTGAAGACAGACAATTTAGATAATTTAGGTTAAAGTACATGATACCAAACTGTGGCTTCTGGGCCCCATGCCATGGCATGGTGGGGGTTTGGGGATGAGATTCCCACAGTTTTTCAGCCACCCCTTGGCCACAGGGCACAGAGACAAGAGGTCCCATTTACCACCCACCACCTCCCTCCTTCGCATCAGTTCTGAATCCCCAGCAAGCTGCTAACATGTTGCAGGAAAACACTCTCCCCTTATACCAGACCAGCGGCATCTCATTTGGATGCGATTGGATTGACTTGGGGAAGGAAAGTAAAAATAAATCCAAATAACTTCCCAGCAAGGCTTCGGCACACGTGTGGCCTGATTTGGGCCATTCACTGGGTATGGGGTGGACAGGACTTTAAAATCACCTCCATCCAAGCACCTCAGGTTTTTGTTTGTTTGCATATTTTAACAGATGAGGAAACAGCCCCAGAGAGGTGAGGCACCTTGCACAAGATCTTAAACCCCCGGGCTCCCAAACCTCTAAAGATTGCTGACCTTCCACTAGCCTGAATAATGGGATTCCAACATAGGCCTCCCATGCTAATTTTATCTCAAGTTTCTGGAACTAGCAAGTATAGGCTGGACAGCGGCGACATTTTTCTTGGGAGATGCTAGAACAGGGACTTTTGCTAAAGTCACTGTTCTCCTATCTGAAATAATCCAGAATATCCACACATCGAGATGTGGGACCATCTGGTCTCCACTTTGCTCTCAGCCTCCAGAATTTCAAACAGGCCCCGTGACACCCAGAGGTCACTCAGCACAGTTCCCGCTGGGGCTCAGCTGGCATCTCATTGCCCACTCTGACCCATCTCTTCTGGGGTCTTTGGGCTATAATTCTCAGGGGCTCTGGCTCCAGGAGAGATTCTGGGTGGGACGTGGAGCTGGTTAGAGCCTTCTCCTTTCAAAGGCCCCTGCTGAGCAGCAGGGGTGGCAGGCTAGAGCCTCTGTTTAGAATTGAAGGTCAGTGCAGTCAGGCTGACACTCTAGATGGCTCAGGGATGACACACAGGCTTCAGGGACTCAGAGGCATGGGCTACTTCGATATCTCATCAGTAAGAGAATTGCAGCCTCTGAGACTGTGGGCATTGAGATCACCAAGGCCTTAGGGAGGGGGGTGTCAGTAGAGACCAACCTGGGCGATGCTGAATTCTGACCCTCAGAGAGACGAATCAGATGATGATTTGTGGCTGAGTCTCAGCATCTCCCTCCCTCCCCGTGCAGTAGAACCAAGACTGATATTTCTCCTTTCTTGCCCTACTCCAGTTTATTTTCTTGTTTTTGGCAATGGGGTGAACAATGGTGCCAGCTTCTTACTAGACTGTGAATACCAGAACTCACAACTCGAATCTCTGCAGATGGGGGGCTCAGGGAGTTGATCTAAGATTGTCATTGCCTCCTTTAAGGTTGGAGGATGGGGGGTGGGGATGGATAAAGAGATTGGCAAACATTTTCTGGAAAAGGCCACATAGTAAATATTTCAAGCTTTGCAGCTCACATACAGTCTCTGTTCTTTGTTTTTGTTGTTGATTTTTTGTTTCATTTTGTTTTAAAATATCTTTAAAATGTAAAAACTCATCTTATTAATAGCTCAAGTCTTAGCTGTACAGAAACATCCTCTGGGTCTTTTTCAGAAGGATGCCAATCCCATGAACCTTTGAAGGTAAGGCATCTCTGCAGCGTGGGACTGCCTCCCAGCCTCCTGGCCTGCCTTCAGTGCAATGGGAACCTCAGCATGAGGGCTGGGTCAGGTTTTGTTTTTCTCCTAATGCTTCTTGAGAGATTGGTGACTGAATTATTTAGGCTACAAATGAGACAGCTTTAGCAGAGTCAGACAGTAACAGCCTGTTCTTTTGGAGGCCAAAATGGGGCTTTTCTCTACTCATTCTGCACCCTCAAGACTGTGTCCAGGAAGGAGGGAGAGGGCTCAAGCACCCTGCTCATCTGCTGCATCCACAAGCTGGTGGGCTCTGAGCTGGGGAATGAGCCTGAGAGTGGGGGTGATGCTAGACAGACTCTCTCCTGAGTTGCCAACCACTGCCAGCCTCTGCCTCAGCCAAAGTCTGGGTTCTCCAAACTTCCCTGACCTCCCTCATCGCTGGTATAGAGAAGACCTCTCCTTTGACACATGCTGGAATTTGCTAACTCCTAACTCACTTTTTTAACTCCTCAATATATATTTTTTTCCCAACACTAAGACAGAAGCTAATATTCATATATATATTTTTGGTGGGCTTTGAGGGGTATTTTTTATAAGGCCAGAAGACCCCTACATTGGAGGATCTGATAGAGAAGGGAAAGTGTTCCTCCTCCCCCACAATATCATCCTAGGGTCCTGTTTCCAACTGAATCAATATTTGTGTGCATTTTGTAGCTACAGCTTAAAAATGCAAATTAATTTTCCTGGAACATAGGGTTCCCAGGGTCATTTGTCTTCCTCTTCTCTCCTTACTGTACTGGAATCTCAGTCTCTGAAGTTAGCCAGTACCCACACTGTCCTCAGCTGTGAAGGCCTTAGGAAGGTTACCAGCCACAAGAGATCATGTGGCTAATTTCTGTTGGCATCCTAGCACTTTCATTAAGGTCTGTGAGTGACATCCTAATTAAAGGCCCCAGACAGTTGCCTGGATTGAGGCTGCAACTTCCTAAAATCACAAGCTTACAGCCAGAAGGGATTTTAAAGTTTTTTGTTTTGAGACAAGGTCTCCCTCTACTGCCCTGGCTGGACTACAGTGGTATAATCATGGCTCACTGCAGCCTTGGCCTCTTGGGCTCAAGCAATTCTCTCACCTCGGCTTCCCGAGTAGCTGGCACTAATGGCATGTGCCACACCTTGCCTTTTTTTTTTTTTTTTTGTAGAGATAGGGTCTCCTTATGTTGCTCAAGCTGGTCTTGAACTCCTGGGCTCAAGTGATCCTCCTGCCTCAGCCTTATGAGTAGCTGGGACTACAGGCACACGCCACCATGCCCAGCTATTTTTTTTTTTTTTGCAGAGTAGAGACAGGGTCTTCCCATGTTGCCCAGACTAGTCTTCTCTTGAATGTCCAGCTTCAAGACATCCTCCTGCCTCAGCCTCCCAAAGTGCTGAGATTACAGGTGTGAGCCAACACACCCAGCTTGCAAGGGATTTTAGAGGCCAACTCCCTCATTGGACAGATGAGGAAAGGAAGGCTCAGAGAGGACAGGTGATTTGTCACATAGCAAGCCGTTGGCATGTCCTGTCCTGTGATCTAGACAAGTGTTCTTTCTGCTACCACACATCAAGTTCAGATGAGGAACCTGAAAAGAAGCCAGGATTTTAGAAAGGATGAATGTGAACGCATCCCATTCTATAGTCACTCGACCCTGCAAGTGCACGGGAACAGAATGAAGAATGGGAAACACGTAGAGATATATACACAGAAAGAGGGGAGGAGGAACAAAAAAGAAGGGTTGAGATCACTCATTCAGAAGAACACAATGCATAGCACAAAATAATGAGAACAGAACTGATGCCACATCCAAAACAATTGATTTTATTCTTTCTCAAGGAGACAGAATGGAGCCCTTATTAACCTTAGAGAGATCAGTGAAGCCATTTTGATGGCTTCTGGGTTCTTTAGGCTGCATTCTAAAGTCCATGGGCTAAATCTAGCCTGCTGCCTTTTTTGTAAATAAAGTTTTATTGGAACATAACTATGCTTATTTGTGTCTTATTGTCTATGGATATTTTTATGCTAAACAGCGGAGTCGAGTCATTTTGAAGAGCCCATATGGATCACAAAGTCTAAAATATTTATCTGATCCTTCGTACAAATATTTTGCCAACTGACACCATAGTGTTTTAGCTGAATCTTTCTCAATATACTTCTGCAATCTGAAAATGATAACTGCATTGTATTCCTGAGTTTGTGGATATATATATTTTTTGAGGCTGTGCCTCTGCCCCCTTTAATCCCTTCCAGTGCCACCTGTGATATCTAACAAGCTAGAAATGAAGACATAAAGACTAAGAGGCCAAGAGAAAGACTTCAGGACAGATATCTTGTCACACCCTAGATCTGTTCAGCTCATATTTTCCAAGTCCATGTAACTGTATCTTCTACTTTTTTCTTTTTTGAGTTGGAGTCTTACTTGGTCACCCAGGCTAGAGTCCAATGGCGCCATCTTGGCTCACTGCAACTTCCACCTCCCAAGTTCAAGCAATTATCTTGCTTCAGCCTCCTGAGTAGCTGGTATTACAGGCACCTGCCACCAAGCCCAGCTAATTTTCGTATTTTTAGTAGAGACGGAGTTTCACCATGTTGGCCAGGCTGGTCTCGAACTCCTGACCTCGTGATTTGCCTGCCTTGGCCTCCCAAAGTGCTGGGATTATAGGCGTGAGCCATCGTGCCCAGCCATACTTGTACTTTTAAGCTTAAGGAAAACAACTGCATGTGCGCCCATGTGTGAAGATGTAATTGTGTATGCATGTTCGCTGCTGGTGTTTCTGTGTGTCTATGGATTTGAGTGTCTCCATGCCCACAAGCAAGGATACTATTCAAAATACATAAAAACCAGTTCAGCACAGAGATTGACTCATCAAGACAGGTGCCAGCCCAGGGCATACTGGCAGCACACAGCCCAGCACATGACTGCACATTCCCACTCCCCCAGAGGGGCTCATTTCCTTCTTCCCCACAGTATGAGCAGCTAAGATGGCTCCTGATTTCCTGGGACTTGTGATGTGTCATCAAGTGTGAGTCTGGGTGTGTGCATGGGCACAGCAGCTACTGGGCTCATATGGCTGTAAACATTCTATTTAGAATAGATACGTAGACTGGGTAGAGGGGGAACCAAGCAACTACCTTCCAAACCATACGTGAGGGTACAAACTCCCCTTCAATCTGGTTTAGAGGAAGTGGATTCCAGCTATTTTTAAAGGCTAGATTGACCTCAAGGCCGGGTGATTGGCAATACACCATAGTTTCTATTAGTGAAGGTCTACCATGTGCCAAACACATATATTAAATGGGACTTTTCCCATCTCAAAATTTGGACAGAGGCCCTAAAGAGGGGGGAAAAATGAGTATCAACTATACAAAACTACTCCCACATTCTAAATCAAGATGCTAGACTTGCAAAAGGGGTGGTGAAGAGCTGTTACCCACCTCCAGACTGCATGAGAGAGGGCTAAGGGCTAAGGTTAAAAGGCAGGTGGTAATGAAGATCATCTGGAGAGAGTCGTCACTTTCTTCCATCCTGGCCAGTGGTGTGATTCTTACTGTAACCCGCTTCAGAGGGGGATTCCAGAGAAGAACTCCAAGAGCTTGAATC